AATTCTCTTTGTTGCAATTTACTGACGAATTTTGTTCAATATTATTATATTTTTTTATAACTTCAACATTTTCTACAAGTGAAAATTGTAAGAAGAAATCAAACCTCAGGAAGTACACGCAACAAACAAAATTAATATTTAAAATAAAAAAATAATGAAAAATCTACTTTTACTTATAATATCCTTCAATATATTATTATTACTGGGTACAATTTTAATACAGCTTGTTCTCTTTAAAACCCATTGTTTTCAATTTCATTATTTTTAGTATTTTGAAAATCCTAAAAAGAGAAATTAATTTTTAGAGCAAAACATGTAAAATCAATTTTTTTAGAAAATATATTTTATGCTCAGATATTTACAAATTCAGCAATGGATTCATCAGCAGCAGCATCACCATATATAGTAGTATGTCCAATCAATTGAGCTATATCTATCATTATTATATTTACATCTGATGGTGGACCTCCTTCAATTTTTCTTAAACTTCGATTGATTTCTACTTTTTTCCTTTTATTTTGGTTTTTATATGCCAAGTTTATAAGATTAAAAAAAAGTTAACTGATGTTAAAATAAAGTTTATTATAAGAATTTACATAGATTATTTTATGTATTATTTTCATTATACTTATTGTACATATATACTTTTAATTATACATATATACTTTTAACCTTTTGCCACTGTTTCCAAGTCTTTTGAGCTCCAGGAAGGGCATTTAGTATATCAGTAACTTCATATCACAGTTTTTGATCATCTTTGTATGAAAATTTTGAAGAAAATTTTGCCGACACTAATTCTGGATGCTTATTTAAAAATTCAATAAGAATTGTTCTTTGTCCATATGTTTCCTGTTCGTTTTTCTGACATCTAGAATTACAAATATAAAGCTATATAATAAAATAAATACACATTAGTATCTATAAGATAAGAAAAAATATATTTATATGATTATATTAAAGCAGATTTTTTAATGTTTAGATAATATTTATAGGTTAATATTTTGATAAATTTGTTATAAAAAAATAAATAACACATTTCATTGATTTTACTCACTTCATAAAGATTTGGCAACAATTTGCTTTGATATTTGCAAGCGATTAATCGTATACGAATTTATACACATTAATTCGTAGAGTGATCAGGAATTAATTTTATCAATCGCATGCGAAATTTTGATATGAAATTATTCATATACGAAAATATGCCGTACAAACTCAAGAATAGGGCTCCTGATTCGATCCTTTATTCAGCCTTTTTATTCTGGCTGCCAGAGGGTTGTAATCACTTTAAAGGTGGCATCCTACCATTTTCGTTATTTACATATTCTCCTCTTTTCAACAGTAGCTCTTTTATAAACATATGTGATGGGTCACATATTTATATTTTTTCAAAATTTTTAAATCAAAAACGTCGTAATTATTGATATTTCTGATCACCTTTTTTAGACACCCTTGCGATTCAGTGTTGTCCTCAACACGAACTTCGATTTTTTTTATATTCATTTGCATACGCGATAGGTGCACAAACTTGTGGTGGGATCTCGTACTATATATGACGTGATCTGGTCATATCGATCTCCGCTCATTATTTCGGAAGGGGGAGCTATTAACCAAAGAAGTGTCGACTGTCTCCTGAAAGGAAAGTAGTCTATGTTACACTGTGTCCTTGTTGGAAATCGCTGGTAATCTGTTGAAAGATTTTCCATTGCGATTCTCTCCTCAAATTGCTCTTGATGTCGATCAGGCCACTATGGCCCGATCTGCGACCACGGGCAACTGATCCGCTGTGGTTCAACGCCGATAAACCATGCGATGATGAGAGCGAGGTCGCCGCTCTCGAAGCGGAGCATCAGGCCTGGGTAAGTGTGCAAACATCCTCGAGCGCATAGTCTACATTTTTATACGTTTTTTTTTTTCAGAGAGATCACGTGCGGGTGCAGGGCTACGAGCACATTCCAATCGGGAAGACTGTGAGCGATGTAAGTTAATCTAACCTAACCTAACTTAACCTAATCCTAACCTAATCTAATCGAATCGACCAGTACTTTGTCGTGTATTTGTATTTTCAAAAGTGTTTCACGATTTGGAATTGTTATCACTAGTTTTAACAACGTATTATTAATTCCTTCATTTTTGTTCATTGTTGTTTATTATCAAGGACATGTGTATTTATTTTTCGTCTCTTAATATGCATATATGTAGCATTTTAAGCATTCGGTATAATGTTGTATCTTGATCCCGTCAAGTTAAAGTCAATTGCATTGTACAACAATTTTATTTCATTACATGAGGCAAGTGATTCTAATAGATTTCTTCCATAGATAATAAATCTATAATTGAAAATATAGTTTTTAGCAGGTTTTTAAGAAAAATCAGATTAAAAAGTGATAAAACATATTTTTCATCATCTTTGATCATCTTTGAAGTTCTAAAAAAGAATGGAACGTAAAATGAACATAAATAAGTAACACGATAAAAATTTAAATGTCATGTCTTGAAATATCTTTCTGATATTTCTAAGACATGACATGCATGCTGCCTGGATGTAATTCTTATTTCTAGGATGATATAGTAAACACATGCTGTAGTTTGCATTCTTAAAAAAAATCTGTGGTACAAAAAAAATTTTATCATGTTACCAATTCGGCGCGTAATTCGATAAATAAACATAATATGTAAATTCACATGAAATTATTTAAGCACTCAAGATGCAGCTTTGATATAGGCATTATTTCTTAGTGTGTTTGTCGTGTTACTTATTTATCTTTGTTTTAGAATTTGAGTTTTCATTTGAGCTAATAAATTTTATTTTGAGCTTAAATTTTTATGATTTTTTAAAATCAATTTTAAAAACAGCCAAAAATGTATTTTTTTTTATTTTTTGAGTTATCTAAAAAATCTAATGTACATTTTCAATTACTGTATTTTACAATTTATAATTTATAGGAGAAACTTACCAGAATCACCTGCCATGTGTCATGAACAATGAAACAAATTTTTTAATGTTGCACAGTGTTGTCGAATATTAACTTAAAGCGCATGTAATTTTTAAGCAGAGAATTGATTATGTAATGAAGAAAATTAAGTCTTGTGTTCATAATGATAGAAATTGATTCAAAATGAAAAAGAATTGACCAGTCGCATTGATTATGTGATTAAATTGTTCGAATTTGATTTGTTATTCATTTTCTATCTCAGATTTACCAGAACTGAGATCTTGAACCGATTCCCAGCATCATGGATACAAGACAAAAATGTGCGAATATTTATAACTTCATTGGTCCATCTCGTGAATGTATTCACTTTTGTATGTCATTTCGATCCTTAGAATAGGTTTGTTTGCATTGTCAAAAATTCCCGAAATTTGCAAAATTTTAAAAGATAAATATATTTTTGGATATTGAATAGAGAGAAAGCCAAGAGTGTAAAAATGCAAGTAATGTCAATATACTTAATTATAAATAG